AATCTTGATATAACTTTGATAAAGCATAACCGATTACATTATTTTTTTAATCCATTAAAGTGTGTCTAATATGAGAAAAACTATATAATAACATGTTGCACACTATTTTAACAACTTTTGACACCTTGATCATTTTGAGAATTTTCATATCTGCTATAAGAGACTTTTAAAAAGAGATTGCAGGTGCGCCTAGTGCTCCAAGAATCAAGGTTCAAAGGTTTTGAAGAATTCTTGAAGGCTACCATTGAACGTCTATTGGTTGATCACTTCTGCATAATTTAGGTGCATTCTTTACTGATCATAATTTGTTTTGCAATCAAGAAGATTGTTGTTTCCTTGTGCGTGTTGCGAGGAAGATGAACTTGGTGTTCTTAGTACTTTGAGAAGGGTCTAGTGAAGAGAATTGTTCTTCTGCAGGGTGTGTTAGCTTTATTAGATTGGTGTGAGTTAGAGAGGAGATTTACATTTTGATAGTGGGTCGCTGTAATTCCTTGTTGTAAAAGCTCAAAATCTTTATAGTGGAAAGTCTTTCAATCTAAGGTTGATTAAAGAGACTGGAGGTAGGCATTGAGGCCGAACCAGGATAAAAAAAATTGTGTTTATTTTCTATCCTTAATCTCTCTACTGCATTATTTTGATAATTGTATTATGCTCTTTTAAAGATCATCTAAAGTTTCTAAAAAGACTTAAAAAGAAAACGTTTTTATTGATTACCAATTCATCCCTCTTGACAAGAGAAACAAGCCATAACTTTTCTTACATATAGTTTGGTGTTAGATTGTTGGTGAATAAATAAATTAAATTATAGTTTTATATATTTATTGTTTTGTTTATATATATATATATATATATATATATATATATATATATATATATGATGTGTTGTGTATGATGTATATAGATATGGTTGTGTATATAATTGAATGAGAAATTATGGTGTAGTAGTGGAAGTGAGTGTTTAATGGAGAGGGCCATAGTTTAAATCCATGTAAGCCCAGTTCTCTTGCGTTTATTTTTCTTCTTTTGCTTAAAAAGTAAAGAAACTTTCTTTTTAAACATATTTATTTTGCCTAAACATGTTGGACTCCATAACTTCAATGTTTGGTTTCTAGGTCCAATCATATCCAACAAACCCTCAAATAACAACATTCTTGCTTTTATAGCCACAAATCAGACTTAGGTACAAAATTGTTTGATCTTTGAATGTTTGCACAAACTATAATAGCACAAAAAATATTTTTAAAAATCAAATTTACAAAAATTAAAATTAACAAAAAATATTAAAATGTTAAGATAAAAGTCCATTATATTTATAAAACCTAAAAGCATAATTAAATGTTCATATTTTTATAAAAGAAATATGCTTTCTTTATTTGAAAATCATTATTAATTTACGTGGATACTTTTTACTTAATGATTTATTTTATATTTAAATAACATCGTTAGATGGGATACAACCTGTTAATAGTGATTTATATGTTTGTCATTCTCGTGATAAGATCAAACGTCATATCTATTGTTGTTATAAGTTTGGTGTTTATTTCAAATAAATTTTGAAGTTTTAACATTATTATCCACCATTTATTAATTAATTACAAACCATACTTGGTCCAAATAAAGAAACTGTTTTCTTCTTTATTTCCTTTTCTTCCTATCAAAGATCTTTTTGAGTCAACACGGCCTCTTCCCCTTTCCCGAATTTTGTTTTCATCACGTGCTATTATTATCCTCAGCACATTTTCAACCAATAAAGTTTATTCACTAAATCCCATGTCACTGGTGCCATTCTACAACCACTTATTTTCAACCAGCTAATTGCCTGATACCAAAGAAAACTAAGTTTGACACAAAATTCATTGCATCAAAATTTTAACTTTCCAAGAAGCACAGTACTACTTTTATAAACTTTTTCATAAATTTAAATTAATTTGTATGACATAAAAATAAAATTTATGAAGCAATTTTACACATTAACTTTAATGTATAAAGTGATGAACTGTCTTTTTTATTTTCTTTTTGCATTTTTTCTGTTACAAATCTTGTAAAATGTTTATCCAAATCCTTATGTTCAGCTGCGTCGGCCAATTGATGAGATTGTACTTTCCCTGTCGCATGAACAGCACATTAATGGTGTTGAACAATGAAAAGCCCTTCATGATTCATTGACCAATGGGACATCAAAGATGCGAATGGTGTGCCCCACCACACAGTCTGAACAAGCAATCCAAATGGAATTCAACTTAACATCAGCCAAAGAACTGTTATGGGGTCAGAACTGCAATGGGGTCCATTTTCACATGGAAAAGGATAGGTATTAGAAAAGGCCAGAATAAAGGACAAACCTTTCACCTATCCACTATTTTACCATCTACTGGGTCAAACCGCCACACATTTTCTTAGATTATATATATATATATATATATA